ATATATATATATATATATATATAGTTTTAAGTTTACTCGCTACCACCATCATCATTATTCCAATCTTCTGATTTCGAATTTGTATTATTGATTTTATATTCCCACGCACGAGACCGCCTCTCGCGGTTCTGTAGATAATCACGACGTTTACTCTTTTCTTCTTCCTCTGTTGGGGCAACGTAGAGCCACCCATCGTCGATATCATCATTCTTCTCATCCTTATCGTTAATTTTGTTATTATTCGATTCTTGTTGAACATCTATAACGCTGCTATCTTTACAAGATATGGCCTCACCTGTTTCAAGACGTGATTTCTTAAGCTTCAACGTATTATTATCATCATCATTATCATTATTATTATCACCGTCTCCTTCTCCCACAGTCTCGCCTACATTTTTCATTTCCTTTCCTTCCTTGTTACCCTCATTATCATTATTATTATTCTTTCCTTCTTCTTCTTCCTTTTCTACCTTCTCTAAAGTTGCACTTTTCTCCTTACCAATAGTCTTCTTGACAGTTTCGACAGACCAGTTATGCACACGCAGAGAACGCAAGAAGGCAGTCATCTCCGAACAGACCGGATGTCGTCCAGCAGTGACGGGGTGATATTCCTTCAGTGTGTTGAGATGCGAATCTTCCGTCTCCCACGATGGCCGTGTGATACGACGTGCCTTATCACGTGCGGCGAGAAGAGTATCTGCAGATGGTGTACGGTTAAGATCAAGATCTACAATGTCTGCAGCGACGGCAGTAGTAGCAAACTGAGAGGCTTTCTCCGATACAATACCACTCCACTCATCCTCTAGTGCATGAAAACGAAGAGAACTACTATTACGTACGACACGATCATACAATTGATAGGAGGAAAGATAGAGATATAAATAGGGTCCAGGGGCAAGTGGGCATGAAAGACGACGTTCAGGTGAAAGGGACTCTTCAAATAATGTTTCTCTAGCCCCCCGAAGAACTGCTAATGTCATTCCAACTATTTTGCGTATCATATTAAAAAGAAACGAATTCCCTTCTATCTGAAATACTACAAAAGGAAGTGGAACATCACTAGGTAAACCATAACACTCTGTAATTTGATGATCCATCACTCCATCTATAGTATTACCATTACTATGCATAATATCACTTGTCGTGGTGGTATCCGATACTTTCTCTGTTTCAGAAATAATCTTTAATCCATCTTGATACTCCATCATGGTTGGACCCATTACATTTTGTGGAAGTAAAAACACACGAGGGGCAATTTCACAACGAGATACAGTACGTACAGCCTCATTACTATTGGGTAAAATAGCCTTTCGATTCATCACAGCTCCTCCTCTTTGAAACATCTCAACAGAAAAATTATGAAAACGATGGGTACCAACCACATACTTTTGTAAAAGTTCATTTCCACGTGTTACAGAAGCTGCAAGAGTCGCCATCCATGTTTCTGTATCATCCAAGTGAAGATCAAAAGTGGAAGAATTCTCCGCACGGCGACGAAGGGAGTCTGCGGCTTGTGGGAACTTTTCATATAAAGTCTTCCAGGTATCACAAGGCAGCAGTAATGCGTAGGCTGGAATTAAATAGCGATAGACACGTCGATTACAACAAAAACGAGGGATAAAATTCCCCATAAGAGGTGAAACCCGAGCCACACGCACCGTTAATGGCAGCACAGCATTTATTTTATCCGCCAATTCTTCACATCCTCCTAACGCCTCCAGCTTTTCTGTTGATACAAAAAGAGAGATGATATTTCGCACAGCGTGAACACCTCTATCGGTACGGCAGGAACGTGCAAAGTGATGTGCATCCCCCATCACTCGTCCACGCTCGAGGGCATCAATAATGCCAATATCTTTCAGTGCCTGCACGACAACCCCTTCGACGGTGTGATGTGTGGGTCCGTGTGTTTGCAGCTGCAGCCCGCGGTAGCCAGTGCCGCAGTACATCACACAAAGACCAATGAGGGTGTGATCTCTCGGAGCCTTGCGTACACATATCCGGCGACCCTCATAAACCTTACGTCGAGCCATTGGGAGGGGAATGAGACTTTCCTCTGATTTAGTAAATAAGAAAGAAAAAGAAAATAGAAAAAGAGAAGAAAGAGGAATTAAAAAAAAAAAAAATAAAAATTAAAAAAAGAAAAACATAGAAAGAAAGAGAGAGAGAGAGAGAAACAAAAAAACAAGACAATATGGAAAGGGAGATCCGTCAAATATTGTTAATAACGCCGTGCATGTTCAGTCACATGTGAAACGCCAATTGAAGTACAAAAATATGAGTGCAACTAACCAAGACGTATACAAGAAAAAAAAGTATACAAATATATATATATACTTCTTTTTTCATTTATTCTTTTTCATTAACTTTCACCTTTTCGTCTGGTTGTGTTGTTTGTTGTGAAGCTCTTTCCACCTGTTTTAAAATAGCATTAATTGTGAATGTCACTGCGGCTACCGTTTCACTTTTTTCACTCTCTTCCGTTGTGATAAAACTCTGACCCTTATCTTCTGCAATCGATAGCATTGGATCAATAGGAATAGAACCAAGAAACTCCACCTCATACATCTCCGCAAGTTTTTTACCACCACCTCGTGAGAAGATATCTGTGCAATGTGCACAGTGTGGACATACAAACCCTGACATATTCTCTACTATACCCAAACAACGAATTCCCATTTTATGACAAAACGACAACTCCTTCTTTACATCATCTGTGGCGACATCCTGTGGAGTTGTCACAATCACCGCACCGGCGGGATTTAATGGCCGCAGCACTTCACAAAGTGTGAGATGTTCATCACTTGTGCCTGGCGGTGTATCAATGATGAGATAATCCAATGCGCCCCAGTGAACATCCGTAACGAACTGTTTGATCATTGCATCCTTCTTTGGTCCACGCCACACCACCGCATCATTTTCACTTGGGAGTAAAAAGGCAATAGACATAATTTTAAGATTACCGGAATGCGGTGAGGAAGAAGAAGAGGAGGATGATGATGAATTCTCCAAAAGTGAGATTGGTTCCCAACCATTTTCCCCACGGTATACATCACGACCCGTCACTCCGCAGATCGTTGGTACACTAGGCCCACAAATATCAACATCCAGTAAACCAACTTGTTTCCCATGAATATACGTTAACGCAAGAGCTAGTTGACAAGCCACAGTTGACTTCCCTACACCACCCTTACCACTTACCACAAGGATAATGTGTTTTACATTTACTAAAGAAGAGATCATTTCTTCCTAAGATTTCAATTACATAGTCAAAAGACCAAAGGAAAAACAAATAAAAATATATTAATAACATTAACAATATGAACAGTATTGGAAATAATTATGTACAGTCAAGAAGTTTAAGGGGGAAAAAAAACATATATTTGAAGAGAGAAGAGGGGTGATGGTAAAAAAAAAAAAAAAAAAAAAAAAAAAACGCCATGTCACCACATTAGACTTGTAATATGCAGGCACAATGTGAAGATTTATTCATATTCATCTCAAATATTTCCATTTTCATTAGCCCCTTTTTTCTTTGTTTGTTTGTTTGTTTGTTTAAGTGGGGCACATGTATTCTCATGATGTCACTTTACCAGAAGACTTTACTTCTTTCCCCTCCTCCTCATCTGTTTCATTCGCGAGATCTTCCAATGCCTGCCAAATTTCCTCCACCTGTTGAATTAACGTGGATGGATTCGTCAGATCTAACACGTAGTAATTCACATTTTCTCCAACTTCTTCAAGTTGACGGCGTTCACGTTCTTGACGATCTCGCAAATACAAAAGTACATCCGCAAGACTTCGCATCCCACAGGTGTACATGGCTATACACACCACCATCGTAACTCCAACAAGGGCGTAGAGTGATCCCCACATCAGTGCTTTCCAAGCAAGTAATATTTGCTGCGGCGATGGTGGTGGGACTTTTTCCTCCTCTCCATCCCCGTATCGTTCCTCATCCATAATTTCTTCTACCGTATCACTATTGGGCCAAAGTGGTGATTCTTCTGCGCTACTACACTTTGTCTGTGGAGTCTTATTGTGAATATATCGAGCTTCCAATTCACGGGCGGAGGCGAGTTGCTGTTCCAACTCCGCACGTGATGGAATCATATCAGCCACCTCGCGGGCGGAGGGTACATTTGTCTCATTTACTTCGTGCGGCTGCAGCCGAAAGGATGTGCTGCTGCGATACGGCCGGGGTTTCTCTGAACACATACGCACAGTTGTGCATATTGATAGCGAAGACACAGTAGCCCCGCAGAGAGGAACCGCCACCACAGCAGTACACCGCCGCATTAGGAACACAGTCCACTATCAAATGTAAATGTGATATTTAATAATAATAATAATATTATTATTATTATTATTATTATTA